TTGTTTGTGATAGTTCTAATTTCCAATTTCGGCTATTAATCAGATAGGAAGGTATATATATCGTAATGCAACTGTAAAACTTGAACCTTGATTTTCTCAAAATAATCTTTTTGTGACATGACACCTTTATCCACTCGTGTCTTTAATTATGGAACAGTAGTGCAAAGACCATTCACTGTCTATCAATCCCAAGAAGAGAGAAATGGTCGTTTTCATAAGGAAAAAGGAAGAAAATGGAATTAAAAGCTCTAGAGTTCCTAAAAATAAAACAAAATTTTGCAACAGAGGTGAAGTACCTAAGTAGCTCCTTTGACAACAAGTTAACATGGAACTCACACTTAGAAAACCGAGTCAAAAGAGCATACATTGCTTATGAACAATGCCACCGAACCGTGGGGCGCACCTGGGGTTTCTCCCACAGAGTCGTCACATGGACATCATAAGCCCTATGCTAACATAAGGTGCAGTTATCTGGGTACTGAAAATCCAAAAATTGACAGCTATCCGCAAACTAGAACAAATTCAAATAACAGCATGTCTCAACATAACATGAGCCATGAAAACCACACCAACCACAGCCATGGAAGTTGTTCTTAGTCTCACTCCTCTTGATATTTACATCAAGGAGGTTGCTCTAATGACAATGACACACCTCTGTATGGTTTGAATAAAAACTGATGTTTAGAATAAAAGAGCCGGAAGTGGCAGGTACGATTCATATCTACACCAACAGTTCTAAAACAAAACAAGGCTCAGGATGTGGGATATACTCCAATTCTTTGAACCTCAACATAAAGTTGGCCATGAGAAATGTAGCTCAAACCGAGCTCACTGAGATTGTCATAGCAGCAAAAGAAATCACCAGAAATAAAATCACTGGTAAGAGTGGTAGGAACAAGCTCATCCATACTTATGGCAGATATGCATTACTTACCCTGAACAGACTACGAATTTACTCAGGTTTAGTACTAGAATGTCACAAAGCTTTGGCAAGAGTATCCATCAACAATGTGGTGCTGATTTATTAGCCAAGAAGGCAGCCAACCAAATACTTTTTGGACCTGGCCCTTCTATTGGACTGACAACATATGTAATGACAGATCTAATTAAAGAATATTCCCTTGTGAAATTCAAGGAAATATAGGATGAAACCAGAAACTGCAGAGTTGCCAGAGAGCTTTTAAGTTATCCTGACAACACTACAGCAAACAAATACTTTACTATGACTGGACAGAATCTGCGCCTGATCACAGGTACTCGGGCTGGTCATTGCCAAGTACGGAAGCATCTCCATATGATAGGGCTGTCATAAACCGCACGCTGCAGGGCGTGCGAACAAGAAGATGAGACCATTGATCATATCCTCTATGATTGCCTGACGCTCTTATTTTTTTAGAAGATTTGTTTTCGGCGAGTATTGGCTAACACCGTCCGAATAAGAGAAGCACCTCTTGGCGACGTTGTCACCTACATTCAATCTGTAGACGGGCTCACGTGCTAGGAGGAGCCTATTATCTTAGTGAGGCCTACGTGCATAGGGTAACCCACCCTTCACACGTTACGTATCCAGAAGTACTGTAGGTAGCTGCATGCATTTCAATTGCATCCTGATAACAGTGACTTGGTTCCTCGGAATGAGTTTGTCATATATTTTAATTATTGTTTATTTGCGGTTTTAATTCGAATGGTTTAAAAAACAAAAAAAAAACATTTTAAATAAAAGACTAAGAAATTAAACGATGCATAATACGTAGTCGTAAATTATCATTATAGGTAATACTTATTTAGACATTTTAAAAATAAAACATTTACAGTCGGATGCAAAAACGTTCATTAAAATCAACGAAGAGCGCAATGTATTTTTTTTTTATGTAATAAAAATCTTAAAACTATCTAATTTCTAATTACTACTTAGTTAAATACAACTACTTAACTATACTGCAGTTTTCACAAAACGCTAATAATAATATACCAAACGTTGCTTTACATAAATTGACAGCTATATTTGACGTTAAACCACCTCTAAAACACTGAGAAAACTTGGCAGTTTTTTGTCCACAAATCGCCCATTTAGTTTCGCTTCTTGGGTAGGTATTCTTTGATATAGTAATTAGAGAGATATTGCAATTTTCTATAACGTCAGCCACTAATAGTAACAACGTAATCAGAGGCAAATAAATTCCATGCTAAAATAAGACATTAGAGTCCTTGTCCTTATACATATTTCTAACCTCATTTTAAAAATTTTAAATTAGAGTTCATCTTTTTTGTTTATAATAGTATATAATATGGAAGAGACATTAGAAATTACCATTTTAGATAACGATATTTAATATTAAAATTTTTCGAACTGATACGAATGTTGGCGAGCGCACCCGAAAACTATAAAGTCGCCACTAACTGATGTCCTTAAACATCCACAATTAAGAACAGGCACAATCTATATTAAAGTCAGTTCTAGAATGTAAGTGATATGCGCATGCTCAGAAGTCAAAATAAGAGCGGCACTAATAAAAAAGTGAATTTGCAGTAACTCTCTATTAATTCAGATTTTTTTAATAATTTAAAAAAGCATTAAATTTACTTTAAAATGGGTAAGTTTAGAACGCCATGTACACGTAACAAACAAGCTGGTATTCGTTTGTATCACAAAAAAAACGGAATTACAGTAATAATATTGAAAAAAAAAAAAAAAAAAAAAAAAAAAAAAAAAAAAAAAAAAAAAAAAAACATATTTTCTCTACCCTGTAACTTCTTGCAAGCAAAATTGTACTAAGGTAAATTGACTTAAATGAACTTATTTTTATTCAAACTAACTACATCTGAAGTTTGGCCCAATCTTTACTGAACACCCTATATGTTCATAAAACTACTTTTTCAGCTACTATAATCACTCTGGATATTAAATTAAATCTAGACAAATACGTATTTAACTACAGATAATAAAGGAGTTCAATTATGACCCGATTTATTTGCCATCTCCGAAAGTAATACATTTGGCATGGTTGACGTAATAGGGGAGCCCAAGATGGGATTTTAAGATTCACTCAAACGCGACAGATTAATATAAGAGGGGATACCTTGCAACCTATTAAGTACCTCCACCATTATAGTTATTTATGTAGAGCCGTGCGTCTAGGACAGCTTATCAGAATAGTAAACAAAAATAGATTGTTAGAAATACTCGAGCGCGTCAGATCAAGGTAGTGGGTTAATTATATGCTGAAAAGTGTGCATATCAATAATCTGAGGGTTACAAACTTGCAAAAAAACGTCACCTCGACATTCTCGAGCGAGGTCGATTTTTTTTTTTATTTTGAAGGAAATAGTTCTAGGATAAAGGAAAAATATAATCTGCCGATTTTCACAAGCCAAAGTAATATAAATAGTCAATAAAGTTTAGTGCGTGCAGATACAGTAAAGCATGTATTCTACAGTCCGGATGGACATATGTCAATGAAAAATTGGATATGACCTGGTTCGTTGGTGATCAATTACCCAAAAGCTTATGAAGATGTAGTCATAACACCTGATATTCTAGGGTATTCTCCAGAATCAGCTACGAGTATATGTTCTTTTCAATACTTTAATAACACTTTTTATGAAAAAATTCAAATATTTCCGTGTATTATATAGATTTCTTGTTACAGATATGCAAGCTGTAGATGACTTTAATGACGAAATCGAACCAGATGATTTGACAGGTGAAGATGAAAATTAAAAAAATAAATAAAATAGATATTTTATTTGCATTCCATTTTTCCTACGTTTAATTTAAAAATATTAGTTTAAAAACAGCATGATTTTTTTTAAATCATCAGATTAAGAAAATTTCTCCAGATAACTGTTACGATTATAGATCTGTACATCTAGAACATCAAGTTAAACCGTGTATATGATAATCTGAAGCGCTTGAGTATGTCAAATCGGCAGTCTTTCGGATTCACTTAACATCCCTTCCAAAAATCTGACGCACTAGAATATATTTTTTTTTTTTCATTTTCTACCCTCCTATACGACCAACAACACCATGCAAACCAGCAGATTAACATATATCCGTTATCAGAGAGACGTGGGGCATATACACTATTAATATCTGACGCGCTCGAATATTTCCATGTGACTGTTTTTCTTACATTTTTGAAAACCTGTAGACCCTCCCCCATCGGTGAAAGGGTATACGTCACATAACTTTTTTTCTATCATCTATTCTTTAAAATCGAATAGGTCTCCACGACGCTCGAGTAAATCGCCATTTAGCATCGTGAACTCCCTTACTATAATAAAAGTGAACCATGATGTCCACGGAAGAAGCAAGAAAATATATGAAATATAATCTTCCATCATATTTGTTGGTTAATAGGAATCTAATTTAACAATTTCAATTAAGATAACAATAAAAAATTGGATCGGAATATTTTTAACGGCATTGATGTGAAATTCAGACATATGAGAATAAAACCCAACAGCTAATTGAATGAAACTACGCACGTGTACAACAGACGAATCACAAAATAAATGGAACTTCTGTCAGGTCTGCACAATTTATTTCAATAATACAAATAATACATAAAAAAAAGATTAAATAAATCTCAAAGACAATAATAAAATGGAATTATATTAGTTACAATAATAACAATGTAAATACCTAACAAAAGCACTTAATCAGAAAGTACATAACAATAAACTAAAACAGTTTCTTCTCAATAAAAAAAAGTAGACATTTCAGGGAGGACGGTTATCCATTTGTAAATTTACAAAGTAGAAAAATTAAGGAACAATAACTCTCTATAATATCAATAACAATAAAAGTATCATAACGTCTATAAAAATACTTATAAATTTGTTATTCTGTTTCTAGGACTAATAGTGATTAAATATCATTGAATATTTATAACTTTTAACAAAAAGTGAACATGCACAGATAATTGTTCATAATAAACTGGAAACCATACTCCATAAAACAAAAAGTAAACAACGAAATATCTATCCCTAAATACCTTGTTCATTTAACTCCTCGAATTTCTCTTTTGCCTCTTCATCCAACACTTGTCCGTCCAACGGTTCCAAAGCAACTTCGACATTTTCGCCGTTCTCCCTTTCTATGCTCAATTTCTCCAACGTTTCGACCTCTTTGACCAATCCCTCTTCCGTAGAGGGCAACAACATAGTAGTTACGTCTTGTCCGTTTAATAACAGTTGTACTACGGATGTTTCACCTGTACTGATTTTCTTGACAGTGAATATGGCTTGACCATCGGCCGAGATGTCTGAGAATTTGGTCGCTGCTTCTGGAGACCACATAGAAATCCCCTCGTTTTTTTGTAAACTGCATTTCAACGCCAGAGGAGCTGTTATAACTAAATCTTCTGGTAACTGCCTTAGGCTCGAACTTGTACAGCAATTTCCATAATCGATAAACAAGAGCTCGATTCCGGCAACGGTATTTGACAGGATTCTTGCGCGGTACCACATTTGATCATCGGGGAAAAGGGCGGCGCACAGCGTGCCTGGAGTCAGCTCCTCGAGTTCTGGGAATGATTCTGCATTACTGAGTTGTTCTGCTATCCATTCTAGTTCGTCAACGCAATTTTCTAGTTGGATCCAGAACTCTGAGGGTGAGTTCAAGTGGCTGACAAAACCGGTCTGAGAAAGATGTACGTCAATTATTATTAATTTTATTGAATAGAATTTTAGAAGGATCAGCCAAAAATCAACCTTAGTTTCCTCAAACATCAAAAACATACTCAATTGAAAAAAAAAATAAAATTCATTTGGGAATTTCCAAATAATTCATACACACTTATTTTTATACAAAAAATACTACAGAGCAGCGTTTTTAGGAGGAAAATTTACATTTCATCTGTGGTTTTGGAGATATAACAAATACTACAAAATTACTTATGAGACTTCATTCTTAATTTTAACAATTGAAGGGTACAGGGGTTAAAAGAGGAATGAAAAGTAGTTTATGAGAAAAACGAATTTAAAAATTTATGGATTTTCATTTAAAAAGATTCAGAATTAAAACATATTTACAAGTACATATATGCATGCACGATTACTTATTTTGTGTATAACGACTAGACCAATGAGATTGCCATTAGTGTAGGTAAAAATAATTTATGAGTGCTACCATGTTGATATGAAGAGGGAAAGATAAGAAATGAAGAAAGATAGACAACAAGATAAGGAAGTAATTAAGAGAGAAAAACAACAAAATGGGGAAGAAATTTAAAAAAAAAACAACAGGAGAAGAAAAGAACAGATAATGAACAAAATTGATGAAATTGAAAAGAACATTAAACAAGATATAAAAAAGGGACAAAGAGGAAACGAAACTGAAGGAATTAGTAAGAGAAATTAATAATAATGAAAATACGTGTGGCACGCGGGGACTGCCGCGGTAAAGCTATTGCATAGCATTTTTTATCAACTTATGCAATTATAATTATTTATTTATGCAGTATTTTTTTTTTCTTTGATATTAAGGTAGTTCACTCGCGACAGTCGTACATAAAAATAACGCTTAATGGTGAATACCAATAGTTCGAGATTCTCAATTCTAATCAATTTTATTTTTGTAAGAGATTGTACAAAACACATGTAAGCTTATATACATGGATATGTTATGATTTTAATAAATCCATCCGGCAACCTCATAAATATAGCAATGGTTTGCTATAGAAATTTGTGACTTGCTCACATTAATTTTAAGGGTTTGTTTTGATTCAAACAGAACCGCTGATTTCAGTTCTCCAAGACAGTGGACGAATTAATTTTTCAAGAAAACGTCGCGAGGTTATAACAACCTCTTAGCTGTTCGAGTGTTACTTTGCTACAACGCGTTGATTGCAGCGTATACAATGTTGCCAAGTTGTAATAATTTTACGCAACTACGCGTCGATTGCTTTAAAAATATTTTTATTTTAAAAATCTATATCTTTTTACTAAGACGGTCAAAAAATTCAGCGTTTCTTTAGAAAATTTTATAACTTCTTGATTTACATTACATTAGTTTTTAAAAAATATGGTAAGAACCGTTTTCGAGATATCTTGAAATAAATGCATTACTTGCGTACATGAGAGGTTTCAAGAGTGTTAATTATGCACATTTTGATTGTTAATATCTCGTTGCACAGACGGTCAAAAAATTTAATTTTTTTTAGTTACATAAAAGACACTTTCATTAACCATATATTTCAATTTTATTGAATTCTTAAGAAAAGTCGTTTTACGAGTGAACTACCTTAATTCAAGTTACACTTTTTGAGCGTGGTGACCGATAAGAAAACAATTTTTTTTCTTTTATTGAATAAATCGTCGGTCTAAAGCACACTTATCGTATCTCCAAAAACCCATTTTGTGACAATCGCAAATTTAAACTTTAGCGAGGTGTACTAGAAAGTGTAATTAAATGCCTTAATTCTCAGTTTTAAATTTGAATTTATTGTAGTTTGGTGGGTGTTGGAGCTACAATGTTTGTGCCCAAAAAAAAGAAGGCTAAAATGCGAATTGGTACCCAGATCGTTATAACATTAAATTTGGAGTTACAATATGTGTGCTTTAGATCGACGAAATGGGAAGTTAATATTGTTTAAAATATTTTTATTATCTTACAATACATGTAGGTTATTCAGGAATTTTTATCATTGAAACTATAGGTTTATGGTAACTGAAATAAGAAACATAAGTTTGAGACTTGATATCCTCTAAATATCTGGAAAATACCGCGTCAATGGTGGTCCCATATTTTGTTGTGGATTCTTGTGGATCATTATTCATTTTCAAATTCAATTTTTCCGAAATTGTGTCTAAAAGAGATAGAATCAGTTATGAGCAGTTAGCAGCTAGTCTACACGCATGCACACAAACACCTTGCCGAAGTCTGCCGAACTGAAACGACGTTAGACTGCACGGCTTTAAACGCCGCACCGCTGTGCCGGTCGGAGTGGGGGGTGTTAGGTTTATTTTCGTTACGGAATTTCTTTTTCGATTTGTAGATTTTTAGAATTTTTGATTTTTAGAATTTTCGGTTTTTCGATTTTTCGGTTCTTCGATTTTCTTTTATTGAATAAATGAGAAGTTAATATTGTTTAACGCCGCACCGCTGTGCCGGTCGGAGTGGGGTGTGTTAGGTTACGGAATTTCTTGATTGGGTCGCCGCGCTCAAAGCCCGCGATAAAAGCTATGCAATAGCTTAATAATGACAGGGAATGAACAAAGAAATAGAAGAAGAAAGTCAAGAGTTAAAACAAGGCGAAGACGAAATAATTAACAGATTAAAACGAAAGTAAAATATAGGCAAGAATCGAAGAAGATAATAAAGAATAGAGGGCTGACAGAAAAGTAAAGAGTGAGGATGAAGGTGAAAGGAAAGTAATAAAATTTAGATGGGCGACAGAAATATAAAATGTTTAAACTAGCTGAGACCACGAAAATAGAAAGGTCAATATTAAGTGTAAGAGTGGACATATGAAAGAGGAAATGAAGTCTATATCGGTAATACTAAGAAAAAATTAAAATTAAAAAAAGTATCAATAGTTTTTGCATAAGAGTAATTTAGAGAAGAACTGTTTGCATAAAAGTAATAGAATAAAGGAAATGAATAGTTTCATGGATTAAAATGAAAGAGAATATATGATGCATATGATTGATTTGTATAATAATAAGTAAATGTGGTATATGAAATAATAGTGAGTAATTTGGTTGGTAATGAATAATGCGGTATAAAGAAAATAATGATATAAAACGATATTTAAAATAATATGAGAAAATAAAAAGAGAAAATGAAGATGATAAAATGTATGAAATAGGAATTATAAAATGTAAAGATATTTTGAGATGGAAAAGATAGACGATTGAAGATAGTATGCACAAAATAAATACATTAAGAATATTATAAATTATGAAGATATTTAAGAGAAAATAGGGGATATTTAGAATTAATAAAATTGGTGTAAATATGAGCATTTTTGATTAAAAATAGCCTGGACTGAATATAGGGCTGGTAAGTTGTGTTTATTTATACATTATATTGTATAAAATATACGTTTTATTAGAAAAAAGGATGAGGGAAAGTCAATTTAAGTCAAGATCTTAAGACTAACATAATCAATGCAGGTGTCTAAAAATTCAGCTTTTACCTAATTTTTTATGCACATCTTCAGCGTCAAACCACTAAACTAATATATTTCTCCTTTTGTAACCCTCCAATACTATTAAATATTAAAATTATACTTAATATTGAACACTGTTTACGCAATTGAGAAGGCAGAGCACGAATAACACTTTCCATTATTGATGTTATTCAGAGGATAGCAGCTATCCACCTAATTAAATAATCAAACACGGTCTATTAGACTAAAACTTTATAACACCAGATTCGCCATATTCTCTCCAAATTACCAATTTTTCAAAACGCTTTTTAGTTGGCTATATCCAGTAAGTATTGCAGATCAGTGAGTACGACTCACTTGAATTCAGTTCATAAAAATATGGATACCTTAGTATTATAGAAGTTATTTATGTAAAAAAATAAGGTGTATAAATATGTAAATTTTATTTATCTCTCGTAAATATTAATTTTCTAAACCTCTAAGACAGGTGCCATTTAAAAATCTTGCAATTTAACGATTTCCCAGTACCCTACCTTTAAAGTTTATAACAAAAAATATGTACATGTAGATAAAGGTTTTCTTAAAAAAAAATGTAACCTTTATCTACAAATATATATTAGTTTCTTTTATAAAAATTAAACTGTAATAGTTCATACAATGCTCTGAAGCCAAGTAAATACTCCTAAGAAAATAAATAGTTTTTTTATTATTAAATTGTCTGCATACCTGATTGCCTTCAGTCGCTTTCGTAGCACTCTTGGCGAAATTTTCCCTAATTAAAGCTTCTCTAATATTGATGCCGTCGGTATACAGATCGACGTAAGTGCACTTTTCGTCCTGTTCGTAAAATTCGGCCGTCAAAGTACCGGCATTGGATAATGTTTCAAAAAGTGTGCATGCCATGCTGCTCCACTCTTCCTCAATGGGTTGAATTTTTAGAGCACATCTTGTCGCGTAGATTGCCAGGGACAACAGCTTGAAAAAAAAAAAAAAATAATAATGACAATTTTCTGACTCAGCTCGAAAGCTATTTAAGAAAGTGTTTTTAGATCACCTCCTTACCAAGTGCAACAAAGAGCTCTCATAACATTTAGGTTTTTACTCACTTTTGTCTCTAAATAATGGGCCCGTTCACTTTCATTTTTGAATGTGAATTGATTATATATTTATAAAGATATTAAACTCTTTTGTCTGGTGGTACTTTTCCCGTAAAGATATTTTTGCTAGAAGTAAGGGAATTCCCATAAAATTCTTTCAGTGACTCATTGCGTCAGAAAATCCCTAATTCCGTTCACGTCTCGTATCGGTTATGCTGAAAGACGGCGAGGTTGTCGGAAGTATCCCTAATATAGCATTTCTGCATTTATATGTAATTTAAATAGTAAAATTCCATTATTTTTCTAAAAATCATGAACTTATATTTTCAGATTTAAAGCTGGGAGCTTATTTTTTACTTTTTAATTAAAACAATTATTATTACTCAGGCTGAAAATTAACCAGACCATAATCAAAAAGTAGAAATTTGATTTGCAATATTTATCTGGTAAACGTGGCAACGTTGCATTTATTTCTAGAAGTGTGTGTAGACAACACTATTTAGAAGTACTTACAACGTTGTCACGTTTACCAGATACATTTTCTCAAATAAAATTTCGATCTGGTAATATTCAGCTTGAGTAATACTAATTGTTTTTATTAAAATTTAAAAAAGGTAAGCCTTCCAGCTTTATCTGAAAATATAAACACATTATTTTTAAAAAATAATATTTTTTTATCATTTAAATTTCTTTAATAAATGCAGAAGAGGAATGGTGGTGCAATGATACATCCGACAACCGCGCCCTTTTAACTATTAACCGATACAAGACCTGAAGGGAATTAGGGGTTTTCTGACGCAATGAGTCACTGAAAGAATTTTATGGGAATTCCCTTACTTCTAGCAAAAATATCTTAACGGGAAAAGTACCACCAGACAAAAGAGTTTAATATCTTTATAAATATATAAATAATTCACATTCAAAAATGAAAGTGAACGGGCCCATTGATATGAGCAGTCCATTTTAAATTCTTATGGATAAACATACCTAAGTATTTAGTAGTATCAAACCAATGGATAGTTTGATGGTTAATTAAAATACTAGCAGTAATAAATCTGGTTTGACCTTTAGTAAATAAAATAGCTTTAGATTTATTTGATGACAATTTAAAATTATGGTTAACAAGCAAATCTTGGAAGACAATAAAAAACTCATTTATGCTTATAATAATTATATGATCTACATTAACTCCAGTAGCCAATAGGACAAGATCATCTGCATACATAGGACAAGATCATCTGCATACTGAATTCATTTGAATTTTTTAGGAAGGATACTACATAAAGAAACGGTATAAAGATTAAACAAAATGGGACTAAGAGGTGAGCCTTGTGGGAGACCTTGACTTGTATATTGAGGTCCGTAAATGTCTCCATATTGTCTCTAATATATAAGGCCCTCTGATTCAAAAGGCGGATATCAGATTGACTAGATCAGAGGATACTCCCAACATCAATCACAATGCTATAAAGAAGAGATATATTAACACTATCATATGCCAATTTGATGTCTATTTCTAAAAAGTCAAACTTTTGACACTTTCAAATTAATTTATTTTTAAATGTCTCGATTTAGTAAAATTATTAAATTAATAATCAAAATATTGATAATTTATATGAAGAAAACACACTAATAAATACCGTTAACAGTAAAAAATATATATATGGAAACTAAAATTTTATGTTAGAAGAGATGTGTTAGATGCAAATGGAAGTATTTATAATCTAACTTTGATACTGAAGGATTGGGCAGTGAAGTTGAGAAAAAAAGATGATACTGACTTAAAGAATGTAGTCAACAATTTATGGAATGTACAGTCAAGACTTTATGGACTGTAACTAGTAAGTTACTTTTTATTAAATAAATGAGTTAAAATATTGCAAAAATATTTTGACCGTGATTAAGATTTATATTACCCTACAAAAGTTACGTTTCGCTAACGCAAGATGGAGTTACGATAGCACAAAAATTGTTGAAAACTAGCGCTAAACATTATAGTTTTCTGTAACTACAAATATTGCTAATTAGAGTTGGTGCGTGAAGCAAAAGAGGGCAACACTTGATATAGCTATTACAGAGACGGAACAATATACGTTGTTGCCAAGTATATACACAGAGGTATCTACTGTTCTAGTTGTCACGTAAATATTGTTAAGCGGCGGAGGGTTAAAATCGCGTAGTTTAGATTTTCTTTGTCATTTTATAGATACAATAGTTATTGTGTTAGTTCTCGAAATAGTAGTTTTTGATTTTTAGATTTAAATGGCTTAGGTTGTCTAAAAATCGTCCAAGGAAAACGAGTTATTCTCAAAAAGAAAGTTTAATATGTTTCTAAAGTAAAAATTATCCTAAGAGAAATAATAATATTTTACCGATTTTTTATTTATATACGCCGATATCATAAAAACTGTGCAAAAATTTGTAAAAATGTATTCTTGTTTATTACTAGATAAAAACTTAAGGATTCTAACGATTGTAAAATCATAATTTTATCTAAAATAATAAGAGAGATAATTAAAAGACACTAGGGCCATGTCAGCATTTTGACGAGCGTACCGTAGATTCACAATGAAACCTTTTCGATGCTGGACCAAATCAATTTTGTATACATAATACGTACATCGGCCTAATCGGTTAACTATTCAGCTGGGTTACGTTTAAATTTATATGATTAGTAGTCTGTACGGTGTACACAGCCAGACTGAGCAAAATTCAAGATACAGAGAAAAATAGTATTTTTATTTTGTAATATGATTTCAAGGAGAATTTTATTTTTGAAATATACATATATTATATTTTAAAAACTTTACCAATAGTTTCGGATATTTTAATACTGCTTACATACGGTTTTAAAACTGGCACCTACTTCCCAATCTGGAATGTGATAATCTTACTGTGAAGTGATTTTTATGTTGGTAATATAAACAAACAGTCTCTGGGTGCATACGCCATGGAATATCTAAATTCATTAGTCAGTTCGTTTTTTGCTTTAATTTGTATCAGACTTAATTTTTAAAAAGATAACTTCTTGTGAAATAATTTTTTCCCATATTAACCAATATAAATTATTAGTGTTTTAAGTTTTGGACATTTATTTTATATTTTAGATATTAAAAGTTATTAAGAACGCAGATAAAATGCCCCGATTATTTCCGAAAAAATCTCGTCGGGGTTGGAATTTACGAAAAACTGATTTGTAAGTTTTTGAGATATTATTTATATATGTATAACGCTCGGTCATAGAAATATATTACTAAAGCTTAAAAATCTATATAGGTATCTAGAATTTTTTTAATATTCAAACAAACACGGTGTGTGACAAAATTCGCATAATTTTAAATTATTACAAAACATCGAATCAAAATATTGTGAAACAAAATATTAAGAGACAAACATCAAATAAAGAACTTTTTAATTGTTTTTATGAATCAGGCCAATCAGCTGACTGGAGCCATAATTTCAAATATATAGTTTATAAACCATACACAGTATGATTAAAAAAAAGAGGAAAAACGTTATTTTTTTCTTTTCTCGACTTATATTTTAAGATATATAGCCAGTTTATAAACCATATACAGTATGATTCAAAAGAAAACAAGAAACACGAGTAAATATTACTTTACCTTTCTTGACTTTAAAATTTCGACAGTCAAATTGCGTAATTTTTTACTTTACCTACTTTGAGTTTACTAATAAAGTGTAAAAGTTATAATTAATGAAGCATAAAACTTGGTAATAACAAATATATATGAAAAATTAAACTCGTTTTCTTACCATTCCAGAGGAAGAGTTTTTTTCTCACATATTAAAGATAAAAAAAACATTTACAGAACGGTAGTAGACAGTATTAAATTCTATATTTTAAAATTTGTTTCCAATATGCAGGGTGTTCGATAACTTCAGTCTGAAACAAAATTCTCTTTTTTAAATGAATCATCCTGTATTTTATATTATATTTGAATTACCCTTGCTTTCTCCATTATTATCATATCAAATAGTATAGGATTATACAAGGTATTTCACACGCTATAATCAGTTTTATACAAAAAAGGTATTGATTTAAATTTTTTAAATTTTAAATTTTTTAAATTGACTACCCTTTTTATTATAACACCATTCAAAAGTACCCTTATTTAAAAATACTTTCATTTAAGTTAAATATTATTTATATACCTAAAGTTAATATTTTTTGGAGATTCTTAGAAATGTTGAGTTGGACCTTTGAAAACCATCTTTAGATCTCCCTATTTGGTCTAACTTTTTTCTCCGCCTCTGAAAAATATGAACAAGGTGTCATTCAATTCTAAATAGCGTGTAGACGATTTTTGTAAAAAATCAAGAGCCGATTGCAAACATTGCAAAAGTTATAAACAATTAACTAAAAAAAATATGGTTTGGTTTTTTGCACATATATCAAAAACTATGTGACCTTTTCCAAATTTGAGAAAAGATTCAAAAAGGGAAGGAAATTTCCCATCAAATAACCTACCTCCCGGAACTGTAGGATCAATAATTATAACTTTCTTAGAGGGTTGAAAATGCGACCGAAAACGGAGACTGGCTTGCGTAAGCTCCGCCCACTGTGGACCTTAAATGAATACATATTATTTAAATTTATTTAATATAAAAATTATGAATTGAAAAAATTCAGGCATATACTGGATAGATGAATAAACAATAATCCACGAACAAAAAATTTTTATCGCGTTTTTCTATTATGCATTAGTTAATTAACAATTTTTTCCTACTTGAACATGCAATGTGGGATAATTTTTAAATAATAAATCTGATATTTTTCCTTTTTTGGACCAATTTTTGAACGGTCTCAGAAGAAACTCCCGTTAGAAAAATAAAAAAAATATTGGGTATAATATATTTGCTCGTACATACAATATGTTAACTTTCCCATAAATGCACTTAAAGAACGGTATATAATAAGCGATGCTATTTTTTTGACAGAGGTAGAACAGTCCGCGCCAGCCCACTAGTGACAGAGGTGTAACGATGCGTCTAATCACGGCAGGCAGTCAGCCGATTTACGAGAATCTCTCCTTATTTTTTTTTTCTAATGCAAATATAATTAAGTGGCTCATCTTTATTTCAAAGGATTCATGTGTTAACGCACTTTATGTATCACAATAAAATTTCCAAATTTCCTTTTTTTTTTTCTATGAGCGTTTGCATACCTACATACGACAATCACGTCCCGCCTTCCATTATTATTTGTAAACAGTCAGTGCCCAGATTTATGTTCGTAGATTTAATGACAGTTCTCCATTTTTTTTCTTCGATTCCTCATAATTCATCAATGTACATAAATAATTAAGCTACACTGTTGTCTGTAAAACAGATAACGGCTACGCATAATAGGGACTCTCTAGCTAATAGACATAAAAAACAAGTTTTTTTTTGATTGTCTCAAAACGATTTCGCGTTGTAATGCGTTTATCTAATTGTCACAACTTTTAAACATTATACATTTTTATATATTATACATATTAAAGAATATGTACAGTTCTTATGGAATAAATATTTAAAACATAAATATAATATATTTTTTTACAAAAAAATTGAACATGTCTATTAACAATGTTCTTTGTCGTCGGATATCCGTATAATCAATTAATAATCCCATAATTAATTATTATGTTTGCTGTTATATTAACCATTCTGTAATATCATATATTCTCTGATATGTAATTCGATTGGCAACATCGTAAAAATTTCGCCGGTCACGATACATCCAAGTGGGTAGATTTAGAAACGTTAATTCAATATATATTCCTAGCAGCACCAACTGGACTAATGTTTTAGGTTCCAAATTTAAAAATATTTAATAAATTAAAACATTTTTATTCACTTTTTACGATTATTCAGTGTTTAGAATAAATCTTAGGTAGTGTGTAAAGCAACAAAAAGTTATAATAACAGGAAATAGACTAATTTTGTACGTTTATAAAAGTTTTAACGATAATTTGTTGTGAAATAATAATAGTATTATTATTTATAAAAAAACTGTAAGTTTAAAAATTTTAGAAAAATTCTCCCAGTATAACAATGACATAGAGATCACATAGAACAATTTTGAAAAAAATTTGATGAAAGATAACTTTTTTACATACTTGAGTTTTTGAACAAAACATTTTTTTTCTCAAAAACGGCTTACCAGATTTTTTTCAAAATTTGTCCATGAGTTACTTATTTGATGAGTAAGTTAGGTGAATTTTTTGAAAATTTTTGAACATAAGATTAATTTTTTGGTTGGGTAAGATAAACCTTAATACAAATTAATACAAATAATTTTTTTTTCAAATACCTCGAGCAACGTGATTTCGGTAAGTGAAAAAAAAAATATTTCGAATTATCGCTGTCCTTGGAATATTACTGAAAACTAACCTTTGGTGGTAAAGTCTTAACTTTGGTGGTGTTGTTATCGATAACATCGGTGTTACCAAAATCAATAAATCTGACTGTTGTAATGTCTTCATCGGCATCTAAAACTTCGGCCCTGTACCACTGCTGGTCTGCAGAATATGGCGCGGCACAAAGTGACCCGTGAATAGGATTCTCTAGAACCTCTAGTTCAGGTACGTTTTCTTGAAGTTCCGCTTGTAGGGCATTGATCTCATCGATGGCTTCATAGAACTGAAGATAAAAGTCGCTAGGGGTGTCGATGTGGCTCATAATAACCTTTAAAGACGATTTGAAACATAATAAACTATTAAGGAAGCAAAAATAAAAAAAAATCTACAATCACTATCCAAAGTAGGCTTTTGCGTTTCGAAATCCAAAACCACAAAGTTGACGGTTTCCGCAAACTGACATTAAGTGACAGTTTTGTCACTCGCCGGGCGACAATGTTAACAGCTTTGTTGCTCGCCTAATTTAAATTAGCTATAATATAATATTTCTTTTTAATAAATTATTTTCATGTTATCTGTACGTAGTGTGATATTTTTTGTTTTAATATCCAAGTTGACATTGACTTTGAATATTTACTCCGTTTTTCATGATTAACGTAGATATAGGCAACACATTATGCCCTACTTATGACAAATTTTCAGTTTTTATATCCATTTCTTAACATAATGTTATCGTAGAAAAATCTTGTGTGCATTTTGAGCGAAAAGTTCATTGCCGCACACTTTCTGTCTCAAGCAGCAAAGTATCACTTTTCGCTCTTAATACACAAATAGCTATTCTTTACTTACCATATTGCCAATCATTGGTTCGACATTTTTTTCTTCCTCAAGAGGAACGGAAATTGGCGCCTCATTTTCCATCACAACAGTACTTTCCGTGTTTTCAGTAAGTTCGTGTAAATTGTCCGGTTTTTCAATGCTGCTGGTTGCAAATCCAGTATCAGTGCTTTCAAGTGATTCTATAACTTCTGTTTCCGCAACTGCAGCTGTATGAGAAGAGTCCAAAAGTTGGAGTGTTCCTTCCCATCCTGCCTCGCCGAAATATATGTTAGCTGTCACATTTTTATCAATAAAAGATTCAGCACCAGAGGAAATGTTAACCTAAAAAATTAATAGACAAAAAATAAATAAAAACCTTGAAAAAATAAAATGATTAACTATCTATTCGGACCAAAAACGATTACCTGTAAACTCAAAATGTTGATATTCAAAAACTTTGTTGCCAATTCTCTAAGTTCGACAAAAGCCACATCTTCTGAATTTCCGTAATCGACATAATTGACTGTAGCTTTTTCATCGTCAAAACTGATGACTTTCCCTCTATACCAGTTACCGTCTTCACTATGAATGGCATAAAGCATACCTAAAAATACAACAAGTTTTGACAATAAATACAAAACATAAATGACTTTAGTATGAACGTACTAAAAGAGCTCCACATCAAAACAAGAGCTAGTTATTATTTTAAGTTCAAAGATTGGTCGCATTCTAATACAAGAATGGTTTTCAACTGGAGTGTCAAAACCACTCCTTAGGAGAAATTTAATGAAAGTGAATTATATGACTATTGACCTAAAAGAAATTCACCTTGATAGAATAGAATTTTATTTACTGTTACTGCAACAAATGATTAATAGCAGGTCACAACAGAATATAACGTGATAAAATTTAATTTAAACTAATTAAAGTAATCTAAATATTCTGTGGCAAAAGGAGTTAACCCCTTACCGCATACTAGCCCATATATGGCACAAAGCGTATTTAGTCTATTTATAAATTGTGTGTATTTATAAACACACTCTGTGACGTACAGATCATTACTTTGATAAACCATGGCATGGGTATAATAGCATATATATTTAAATCTTTTTTTAAGCAAATAAAAAAAAACATGCGGTAAGGGTTAACCCGATTCTAAAAAAACTAATCTAAATTACTAATGAAACATACATTCACTTACACACTCATAAAAAAAATACATTCACTTACACACTCATAAAAAAAATACATTCACTTAAGACCGGAGTATCCCTGTGTATGTGAAGACCAAAAGTTAAATTGGCTGATTTTCGAATATACAGTATTTAAAAATCTAATTTTTGGCCAAATTAACTTATGTCGTCTTACTATCGAAAATTGATAAATTTATTATTTTAAATAAAAAACAATCATTTATAACAATTTCAGTTTATCTCAAAGGTGCCATTTAAAATTATTTAAACCTCGATTTCAAAAAAATAAGAAATATAAATAGTAAGATGTAGTGCCTCAGTTGTACTAAATACCTTCCTACCATAGAAAGTTTCATACATACACTCGTCACCTTTCAGGCAACCTTCATTATGTGGCAGCCTTGAAAATTTTGTATCTATAACATGTGGAGGATGACCCCACGGCACTTACGCCTCACTAGAGCGATTGTGCATTCTCCTAATATGATAGGCCCCTCTTAGCTCGTGAGCCAGCCTACAGATTTAATGTAGCTGATAACATCGCCAAGAGGTGCTTCTCTTATATCGGCCGGTGTTAGCCGATACTCGCCGAACACAAATCTACTAATAAATGGGAGCATCGGGACAATCATAGAGGACAATTTCAATTTCCTACCTTTAAAAAATCGGTACTTCCATACAAACTTTAAACCCCCGTTTCCACCCTTAAAAGGTAAAAATCCAAAAACCCTGAGACACGTCATTATTTATTTATGCTCAGTAGCTGTATTTAATATTTTCATGTTTCACTACCACTATGCAAAAAATCATGTCTGTCAAAAATGAATCTATCCCGCGGGAACCGTATATTTTTCCGGGATAAAAAGTAGCCTATGTACTATTCCAGACTATAATCTATCTTCGTGTCAAATAAATAAATCCAGATTCATCCAAACTTTCGCATTTATATATTAGTAAGATTAGTAAGATATGTAAAAAATTATGCTGGCTTAGAAATTAGATTAGATTTCGGTACGACTGTAGGCCATGTAGCCTTCCCACTTCGACCTTGTCTAGTTTGGTTTCTTGTAGTAGACTTCATAGTCTAGGAAGTAGCTCTTCAGCGTAACTTGGTTTTCTTCTCCAAGTGTAAGGAATATCAGTCTTGCTAGACCTTCTCAAAAGCACAATATGTGTGCTGCAGTTTCCTCCTTTTCAAGATAGAATCGGCACAAGGTCTCTTCTGCCAAATCGATGTTATACATGTTTGTTAAGCCTACAATGACCTGTTAATAAGCCTACTAGTACTCTAGTATTTTTCCTATTATAGTTAGTAAATGCTCAGTGATTATTGGCGATGGTCCTATTAAAAACCTGGTGAATTTTTTCATCATTCCTGAGATTTTTTTAACAATTATTGCTTTGTACATGTTCTGATAGCTGTCTTTGTGACACCACAGAAGGGTTCTGAGCAAATAAGAGTCTTTAAAGGTTTTTTTTTTAATAATTATTTAAAAAAACAATAAATGCGAATTTGACTGATAAAATATCAGTACCCAACTTTCTTATTATGGGTTATTTTAAGTTTTTCAATAAGCAGAGGCGATTGCCCTACAACTTTTTTTCCCAATCGTAATAGTAAAAAGAAAAACATGTGGATCCAACTTAATAGCACACACTATATATCATCAGACGATTTAGTAGCATCACAAATAAATTTAAGCTTAAAAAGGAGGTTCCTATTTTGCCTCAATTCACACAATAGGTGATTTACTAGTTTGTAACTCAATTTTCTTAAGTGGAAAATATACTTCAGTGCGATCTTCGTATGTATTACTCAAATTTGAGGATCTAGTTACCTTAAAATTTATATTAGAAAGAATTGATCTAAGTTTATCCATTGCTTTTTTTATAATTCTAGTTGAAATAATTTCAGGGATATAATTTGTAGAGTTTATCTTTAAAAGAAACTATTTGTAACGATGTTCCCCAGTAACACCGTTGTAGATACGCCTATGGTTCAGCATGTAGCCGTTTTTGCCAAGCAGAGACAAGTATATAAAGAGCTCCGAATTTAATTCTCGTCCATTCGAGATCCAGCAACTGTACGAGACGGTACTGTGTGACGAGCGGACTAGAACAGCCGAAGCAAAATCAGAAGCGTTGCGGAAGTCACTGCGAAAGCACACTCCCGCTGAAGCACCTGAAGCAGAAGCACCCTAGGTCATATTTAGTATTTTTATTTAGTATTTTTAAAATTTCTTTTCAGAAATTTTAATTAGAAAAATAATTAGAAAAATATTTCCAAAGAAGAGTTCCTAAATAACGAACAAACCAAAAAGCCCTACTTCGAAAAATTCTTTTTAGAGTTTTTCTTAAATAAAGGCTAATTTTCGAATAAGATTTGGTATACTAACCCCATTTTTTACAGGTTAATAGCCCAATTTTGGAAAATTTCTTTTTAGAAATTTTCCTTAAAAAAGGTTATTATTCGCATTGCGAATTATTCGAATCGATTGATCTGTCATCATTTAAATAAACGACTTCTAATCCATTTCTTTCAGCTTGGGACTACCAGACGACTTCAAGACACAGGACCTAAAAAGTGTAAGCATAAATAAACTAACAAACGTCATCCGACTAGGGTCAAGCCACCATTGCCGGGGTTAATAGCCCTTGAGTTGTGAGGTTGCAACTCACTAGTCGGATTAGGGACTCCCAAATTACTAACAAACCCAGCGAATTCCCCCAACAAACCTTCGTCACCACCATGGTGGTGACAAGAAAAAATTCCTACGCCGGATCTGCTGCTTCTGCCCCGCAGCAATTCGGCCAAGGCCCTAATTCTATGGCTACTATCTCCTCCCCTGCCTCAAGCCATAGAAGTTCAATCTCTATTCCTTCACTCATGGACCAAACTATCACCAAACCCTCAAACATCTTTCAAAATCTCCGCGAAAACTCCCCCCTAAAAACCCAACAACCCGCCCCAAACCCTACACTACCCAACAACCCCCCTAACAACCCCCCTAACAGACCCCTCCGCCCCACTCAAACACTCTTCGTTCTCAGGAACATCCCCGCCGCCTACTCCACCCAAAAAGCCCTATTCAACATATTGAATACACAGGAACTATTCCGTTCTAACCTTGTTTTTGTTAAAGCCAACTTTAACAAAACGGCCCTAATTAAAACCACTTCTCCCAAAACCCCCACCGAGCTCCAGACCCTCATAAGTCAGCGAATGGGGGATAATAAAATCATCCTCAACCCTAAATACGCCCAAAACCCCCCAGAAAAAATCATCCGATCCCCCCCTGCCCCCCAATTCTCCCTAGTCATCCGCCAGGTTGACAAAAACATCTCATTAGAAGAAATCCAGGCGGTTCTCGAGGACCTTGACTTCCCATATACGAAAGTATGGAGGATAAGGTCCCAGAAAACCCTCGAATTCACTTCATTCATCAGGGTGTTGACCCCTTCAGAGTCTCACTATTCCTACTTGATCCGCGAGGGCTTCGGCATCTTCGGACGAAGACACCCAGTCGAACCCTCAAACCAAAACCCCCTGCCTCCCATTCCCAAATATTGCACTCAGTGCACCGGCCTTGGTCATTCGGCCTCAGAATGTTCCAAAAAACCCGCCTGTCCCAACGACGGGCAGCACCATAGGCCAGCTGACTGTAAAAAGTCAGAGGTGCCAAAATGCCCTAACTGCCGCGGCAACCACCCCGCATACTCAATCACATGCCCTGAAAGACAAAAACCCCCCCAGAAACCTGAACAGGTTGCTCCCGTCTCCCTCCCAACATCCACCCCCCCCCAAGAGCTAACATCAGAGCTCAAAATATCTATCCAAATATTCTCTACTCTTCTGATGAACCTCCTCCCAAATAGTAGAGAAATTCTCACAAAAATCTTGGGAACGCTAATCCCGGCCATATTCGGCCATTCATGCACCGTAACAGGTCATGGAAATTTAGCAATTTTCACATACTCCCCGATAAACCCTGACCTTTAATGGATTGTCTTATCGGCACAATTAACTGCAATGGCCTCGCTCGGAAGAGGCCATTAATCAAAAACCTCCTAAATTCTGAAAACCTACAAATATTGTCTCTTACTGACACTAAGTCAAAACTTCCCCCCAGCTTCACTGGGTATCAAACAGTTCATTTAAATAAATCCCAAAACTCTTTTGGGAATGCACTATTAATCAAAAATTCAATTCCATTCAACTCTCACACTTTTCCAGCTCATCTAGCTGATCTTGATATAATAGCAATAGACCTCCCGATAGACAATCCATTAACTATAATCTCGTACTATAACCGCCCTGGCCAAATCATCTCCCTACCACTGATAGAATACCTATCTTCCCTCCCTCGAGCCGTTTTGCTTGGAGATTTGAACTCCAGACATACCATGTTCGGAGATCACGCCTCTAACCCAAACGGAATCCGACTAGCTAATCTGCTTATAGACTTCCCCATATTCAGAGCCTCAAACCGACTTCCCACCTTCGTATCCCACCAGGGATCATCTATCATTGACCACATCCTCCTGACAGACTCCTGTACTGGACTGGTTGCTGATAGATGCTTCATAGGTGTTACGATCACCTCCGATCACCTTCCTCTGATGTTACACACATCCCTACTTGCTCCAATCCCCCCCAGAGCTACCATTCACACCTTCCGCAACCTCAAAAAAGCAGATTGGCCCCTATTTCAGAGAACTATCTCTACTAACATCCCAGAGCAACGCCCGCTCAACTCCCCACAGGACATCGACACTATAATCGATGAAGTCCAAACATCCATCACCCACGCCGTCGAATCATCCACCCCTATCACTTCAATAAACACAGCCCAAAAAGCCCTCCCCCAATTCATCCTCGCTCTCATCTCCCAAAAACGACGCCTGTATAGACAATACGTCCGTACTCACGACCCTGTCATCAAAACAGAATGGAACCGTCTCAACGCCCTGATCAGGCTCCAAATCAACCTGCACAAACAGCAACAATGGATCAATACCACATCTAATTTGGATCATAGAGACGGCTCCAAGTTTTGGGACAAATTCCGGATAATCACGGGTCAAAAATCCAAAACCCACTCCCACCTCCTAATCGACGGTCAAATCCACTCCACCCCCGACGAGAAAGCCCTGGCCCATAAAACCCACCTCGAAGCCACATTCAGAACCCCCGACAACCCCCACTTTGACGAACAATTCAAAATCGAGACCGAACTTCACGTCCTTCAGACACTTGCCGCCCCACTCCCCCCTTTGGATGTCGAAAACCCCCTCACCGCCCCATTCACCCCCCAAGACATCCAATACGCCTGCCAAGCAGGCAAAAACACGGCCTCCGGGCCTGACTCCATCCACAGGAGAACTCTGAAACATCTCCCTGAAACCATATTTCCTATTCTCACTCTTATCCTAAACTCCTGCCTCTCCTTATCCTATTTTCCACTTGCCTGGAAATCCGCAAACACCATTTTGATCCCCAAACCAGGCAAGGACCCCAAATCCCTAAATTCATACAGACCCATCTCTCTCATATCAGTCCTAGGTAAACTCCTCGAGCTTCTGCTCAAGGAAAGAATCTGGGAATTTTGTGAAGAGAGAAACATCATACCCCAATCCCAACATGGTTTCAGACCCCACCACTCCACCCAGGACGCAATATCATCCCTTCACACTACCGCTGTCACGGCGGTAAATTCCCAGCACATCTCCTCAGCTGTTCTCCTAGATGTTCAAAAAGCCTTTGACCAAGTCTGGCATGCCGGACTAGTCAAAAAACTTATGAACATAGGTCTCCCCCCCCAAATTTCGAAACTCATACACTCCTACCTCTCAGACAGAAAAATCACAGTCAAAGTGGGCAACTCCTTATCCGAAACATTCACCCCACTAGCAGGAGTCCCACAGGGCTCCGTCCTGGCCCCCCTCCTCTATCTCATTTACACGCACGACATTCCCCCCCCAAACCACCCCACATCCAAATGCCTGCTATACGCAGACGACACAGCTCTAATTTCGGTAGCCAAAAATTCTAACCAACTAAATATTCGAACCCAAAATCTGTTAAACCGGTACTCTCACTGGTGTAGCAGATGGAGGGTCTCATTAAATCCACAGAAAACTCAATTTATCGTCTTCAAACACCCAAATTCCAAAAGAACCTCTCAGAACCCCCAACTCGTAAACGTAAATCTCCTAGGAGTCAGGCTAGCTCAACAGACCGAAGTCGACTATTTGGGGGTACGATTTTCTCGTACTCTTAACTGGTCCTCTGACGTCCAACGCACTCTTGATAAGATGCGAAAGCGAGCCAGTCTCCTTGGAGCTTTGTGCGGGCGAATAGGGCGCTGTAACCCAGATACCCTCATCCATACTTACAATTCCTTCATCCGACCCGTTGCCGAATACAGAGCTATACCCTACGGTGTACTTCCCACACACCTGTCCCACAAACTCACCACACTCGAGAGACGTATCCTCAGACGATGCCAATACCTCCCCTATCGCTCCCCCAGCGGAGAAGTCTTTTTAAACACCCCCAACACCCCCATCCTCACACGTTTCCAGTCCCTCAGGAAACAATACGTCTCTCGCACGCTGAAAGGCACAAACACACACTCCCAAAACACACTTCGCACCCCTTGGCGACCCAACCAACTCCCCCTCTTTCGAAGACCGAAAAGAAAATTGCCACAGCCGAATCTAAAACTCCTCACAGACGCCCAAGACCTCCCCCTCACCGCTGAACTCCAGGATCTGCTGGAATCAGCCCCGCTGAGTATAAGATAAACCTTCCCAATTACTTAATTAGAAAATCAAAACACATGTACAATATCGTGGTTTAGGTTTTGTGGTTTTCCTAAATCATATTCCCCACCTCATACATGGACCTGTCCAATTATGAGGTTGGAAATAGCAAAATTGGCGATATTCTTGGGGAACAAACCTGCCACACAGGTCCCACACACACGCGCACAAAATTAGGAATTAGCTAGCTAGGTTACTTTTGTAATCAGGGCAGACCACCCTGAAAAGGAGGATAACTCCTATAGCAGGGAAATAGGAAAACAATATGTCCTAGAAAATGTAAAACACTTAAGATTTCCGCTAATAAATCAAAAAAAAAAAAAAAAAAAAAAAAAAAAAAAAAAAAAAAAATAATTCTCGTCAGTCGAACTAAGGTACTGACTTAGTAAGACTCTCCTCTCGTGCTCCTGCAGAGGTATTGACTCTGTAGGCTTCCCGACGTCCCGACCCTTGCCTGCAAAGGTATTGACTTTGCAGGTTTTCCTTTCCCGTGGATCTCCCCCACGAAGGTATTGACTTCGAGGAACTTCCATTACCGTAAACAACGTTTTCGCCACGCCATCCTGGACCACCGAGCCACGCCGAACCGACGCACAAAATATATTTTGGGGAAACAATATTCGAAGAGACGACGATTCGAAATTTAGTTAGGACCTTTTCATTGTACGTATTGTAAATATTGTTGTCTATATATAAATTGTTAGAATAAAGTTTTATTTCCAAAGAACTCTGTCGTCTCAGACTGTTTAAAATCTACCTGCTACCCGAACAACCCCCAGGAGGGGTTACATATTGATCCGCATGATCAGAGAATAAGGATTGTTTGGTAATAAAATTATTATCAATACAAAGTAGAATTATGACTAGTAATTCTAGTACATTGTTATAAGAATCTATTATCAGTTTGAGATCTCTCTTCAAAATAATTATATTCTGAACTTGTTGTAACATTTCACTAAGTAAAAGGTCTAGATTATTTAGAAAGAGTTTTATATCTCCAAATTTATTTCATCTATAAGACTATGATTATTAAGTTTAAATCCTCTAAAACATTTCATATGACATAGAGATTGCTGACCTTTGACAGTGATAGCATGAAAAATTGTGCTTACCTTCTTCAGGAATTATGGTACTATCATGTTCTTTTCCATCATACTCTTCAAATAGTTGGTCGAGTAGGGAGATGACGAGATCTGCATAGTCATTGGGTTGAATATAAACAGAGGTTTCATCTGCATGTGGTACATATCCTGATATTACAGATCTGAGGACAAGCATAGGACAAGGAATGTCCACAGTTTCAAACGCGCCGTCATCTGGGTTTAGTACAACGTGTTTATTACCTTCGGTATCATATAACGTAACTTCTAATCTGAAAATTTTTAAATAAAAAGGTATGTAAAAGTGATTAAAATAAATAATTAAGAATTATTAAATATTTAGAACTAAGCGTAATTATTTTACCTATAATCTTCTAAAACATTATCAACATAAACAATCACAGCCTGCTCCAATAAGCCTTTAAGGACGTCCTCGAAAGATTCGACTGCAGTCTCTAAATTGTGCATGGTACAGCCAATCGCCAGTCCACATTCTAACGCCAAAATTATGTCACTGAGATTATTGACGCTTTTTACTATAGCTCGGAATTGTTGTCCCAACAAAAGAGGTATTTCTATGTCAGGAACACTAGGACCAGTAGATACGGCTAAACCATTGTTTACTAAGAGCTGTCCGATGTCTTCCGTGTCGAGGAATATATTTACATAAGTTCTGAAATTACAAACAGTACCTGTTAATATTCATTGAAATTTGTATAAATACAATAGGCAAAGTAATGATTTTATTCTTGAAAAAACACAAGAACTGATGTTAAATAGTACAGCTAGTACCTTAAATAAATTATAGAACATAGGTCGCTATCGAAACGGAGCGTAGCTTCAAGTAACGTCCCAAAATCTAAGGGCCTATGAGCAAATACTTGCAATTTTGAGGTCAATTCGTTTAAAGTTAATCTGCAGTTAACTAGTGTTTTAAGAATGTTTAAATGAACAGGACAAAACTTTTATATAGATGGTGTTATTGAAATTCATGGACATATTAAAAGTGAGGAGAGTGTATGTTGTCCAAAAAGAAATAGTCAAAAGCAAGGACTGCAGAATTAATATTTTTATATCCCTACCACTCTTAAAATAATAATTCATGTTTTTTTTTTCATGAAACTTATGGTGGTGGACAAATTATATTAATTTACAGTATGTGTTCAAAATTTTCACCACCATCTTCAATGCAATTTCACGTGGGATACGGCTATTGTTGATGACCGTGTAGTATTTCTATGTATCAACTATCAAACTTCGGGTATATCGCGAGAATTTAGAGATGCGACAGTAACAAATGATCCATACATTTACTGATAAAAATATACTAATTGTTCAAACACAGCAGCTCCATACGCGAAAACCATATCCGTTAGTTAAAAAAATCTTTAAAAATTGTCATGAGTTTTATAAAAAGCTCGATTTTCTGAATCAATTCTGATTTTATAAAAAATTTAAAATTAAACAAGATTCACAGTAAAGGTTGGCGGTTACCACTTCTCCTCTCGCATGTCTTATGTAAGACCTAGAAACATCTTTTGCTGAAATAGCACACCAGACTAATACTTTCTAGGGGAACTTGGTTTTGGCCTAAAATTTAGTTCGTCAAGTTTTGACAACTAATTAAAGGAACCAAAAGAGGTAAATGGCTGTATGCATGTAGCTTGGATTAGCAAAAATAGATTTGTATTTCGTGTAAAATTGTTTTGTTTAAAACGCAAAGCGCTTTCGGCATAACGCCATATTTAGTGCATATATCGGTTCCCACAATGATATCCAAAAAGTTTAAGTCATCTTCATTCCAAACATTAAGGTTTACGTTCGCCAATTCGGCATGTACGAAATGAAAATCTTACCTCGGAAGTGTAGTGCGGCAAGGGAGGTTTAGGAGATAACATTGTCCCGCCTACCGATACCTGCGCTTGTTATACTTTTGAAGCCAGAGCCGCACTAGTCTACGTGGCGTAGGCCACAATTTGCAAATATTTATACGGGACCGTGCAGCTCAAAATAAATATAACGTGGGCGTACAAAAAAAATCGACTAATTCCAAATATATAGTTTTTAAAAAAGTAGATTTTAATATATTTTTCAATATTTATTAGGGAGTGAAAAATAAAATAAAAATTAACACGTTTATTATTATTGAATTGACCGTAGTTATGGACTTTGTTAATTTTTTGTTTTAATAAAATATAATCTATACTGGGCTCGCTTCAGTTATCACGAATTTGCAAAAAATAGACGCCCACAATATATTTGTAAGTGCGTAATTATATATTTAAAAATAAATATATATTGTAGGAATATAATTATACAGGGTGTTTATTAATTGAGTGGCAATACTTAGGAATGTGAATCCTTGGGTGATGTCGTAAACCTCCTTTGTACTTGAAAGTAATAGTTATTATTTTTTTTCAATGGGCCATGTTCACATGTGAGATATGCTGTTTTATAAATTATATTGTAATAGTTAGTCGCTATACAAGTTATTCTAAATAGTCAGTTCGTTAAAAAAGCCAAAAGTTTTTAAATTAAGCCCAATTGAAATTTAAAATTTGAAATTATACGTCATCGGGAATAGACCAATCATCTTGTGTCGAAGTTTTTTTTGTTATACAAAACCAAGCCAACGAACAAACCGACACACACAGAATGTCGAAGTGAACGCACATCTAAGTGACATTAACACCACCTAACCTTAGTTTTTTGTTTTGGTTTAATTTTATTATTAATATGGATCAGCTGGATTTATAAAAGTTGAATCAAGTGTTTTACCCATTGTAAACGAAAATATAATTACCGAGATGATTACTGCATTTTTTAACAATACTCAGTTTACAAAAGTCAGGAAGGTAAGACTTTGTTTTAATAGTAGGTATTTACATTTTATATGGAGCCAATACACCTTATAGTAAAACATATTTATCTCAGGTTTTATTTTTAGATCTGCCAAGCAAGAATATGGGGATAATTTCTTTTTCCATAAGAGAGAAGGAGACAAATTACACCTAAACATAAAGTATGGCAAAAACCTTCTGATGTGCTTGTTGTAATTAACAAAAATGAAATTTTTAGTGCACAATGCTGCATGTTAAGGTTTGTAATATTTATTATGCTTTTTTGTTTTTATATCACATATAATAAACAGTGTATAAGGCCTTTTATTTCTATAAATATTTTTTTTCTAATTTTGACATATAGACATTTTTTGTAATCGCAGCAAGTGTTAAATAATCTAGAAATAGATTTTGTTAGTGAACCTAGTAATAATTATGATACCAAAGAATGCTGCAGAGCACCTATGAAATTTTGAGTTAAAAATTATGCCATATTTTTAGGCTATTTTTATACCCTTTTCAAAAATTTTATGCTCCTCGTTTTTTGCAAAACTTAAAATGCTCTGATAGCCTTCGAACGAAGTCAGCAAAGCACCTCTGTTTTATAAAGTTTTTTTTGTAAAAACAGCAACACCATATATTTATGCACTTGAAATATTATATTTTTAAAAAATACATGGTGCTTCTTGCTAACCTTCGAAAGAAGCCAGCAGAGCAATTCGGTTTTTTAAAGCTTTTTTCTAAAAACCACACCCCATTTTTAGACTCTTGAAATATTGTAAAACTTTACTAAAAAAATTGCTATTTTTAAATAATACAGGGTGCTTTGTTGGAACAAAGTCAGCAGGACACTTCAGTTTTTTAATTTGTTTTTTTATATATAAAAACAACTACTTATGACACATGTTTAGGCTGTTTTAAAATCCTAAAAATGTGGTAAGTATATTTGTTTTCAGAAAAAAAACTTTGAAGTCAGCAAGGAATTGCGAATTTTTTTAAAAATGCCAAATTTCGAATATTTTATAATATTGTAGGAGCCAAAAAACGTGGTGTGGTTTAAAAAAAAAACTGGGGTGCTCTGCTGGATTCGTTTGAAGCTAACAAAGCATCCCGTAATTTTTTATTTTATAATACTCAATAGCCTAAAAAATTGTACTTTTAAAAATAGCAGTTTTTTTCGAAAAGCTCTATATTTCAAAAATGTGGTGAGATTGTTTTTTTTTAACTTTTGAAAATCCGAGGTTCTTTACTAGATTCGTTCAGAGCATTTTGTAGCTGGTTATATAGTTATTTTGTAACTGCATATCTCTTTTATTTTTTTCAGGTGGTTATGAACATGTGGCTTCATAGAAGAAGTGAGGAACCATCTGTAACATCTACTCAGTGTTATTGGAAAGGCTCTAATTTATCAAAATGCGTAAATATTGATGTACACTTGGCTAGATTGTTAAAGAAACCTCTTCATCCACTACAGGAAAATAAATCAGTACTTTTATATTCTTAGGATTCGTATATATATATTTTTTATTTGTAAATAAATTGTTTTTTTACTTCATTTTTCTCATTTTTTATTAAAAGGTTGATAAATAAAATTTTCACAGATTTTTATATTTTTGTTTGTAAACAATAATTGAAAAGTTTTTATTAAAAATCGCCAATGTTAATAATAATAACTTAAGTCAATATTATTCTTTCTCCTTTTTTAAAGCTACTATCAATAAAGGTATTACTTTAGCTTGACCTATGATCAATTTTTAATTTTGTGATATATTTGGTTTGACAGAAAAAAACTTATAACCTTTTGACATTGGTTTTTACTTAGATTTTCATAAAAAATAAATGGAACTGCAAACATGTTTAACTATCGTAATAACGAATAGCAACATAAAATTTTTTTTTTTCACATTTATTACTGTTGTCATTTTCATAAAGGATTGATAAGAAGGCACACTTTCTGGTTTTTTGAAAAAGGTAGCAAGAATTGTGATATTTTTAAATTTATCACCAGTGATACCACATGTAGTTACCCGATTTATTGGAATATATAGACTTTGCTACCACATTCAACTGAACTTGGTTGTTTTTAATATTTATCACCGCGACATAGGCGTTTTTGTTAAAATGTTTCATTTTAAACTGCTGTAAATAGGTGCCTTTGTTTTGGTAGTTTTAGTCCCAAACAAATCTATGCATATACAGGTACTCATTCCTCTTTGATTTGCTCGAAAAGTTAAATTTTTATCAAAAATTACATTGGCTGTTTAAAAACTCATTATAATCCCTGAAATGTGATAATTAGGTAAATTAAATTAAAAAACAAACAAAAAAGTTTATTAAATTAATATTTACTCTTACAAAATAGGTTCTTGTAAGTAAACAAGCAATTATGTAGATATTACTAAGTAAATGTACTTGCTTAAAATTCACACACGAATGTGGTTTTAACATGTTAAATTAACTAACCCTTCTTATAACTCTTTCCACATGTATGTATTCTTAGAGATGCTATTCTTTTACTTAATTGTACATCTGGAGAACTTTTTTCATTCTGTGATACACTAGGTGTGGCTTTACTAAAGTGCATCCCATGTTTTCAAGTAGCTGAATATTCTGAAACCCCTATCTGCCATTATATGGGATCCAGGAACCAGTTTGTTTAAATACCCACATTTTTCTATTATTTCTTTATCACTAGTTCTTCCACAAAATGATGAATACATTCGGTATCTTCAAAACTTTCAGGAGATTCTGCATTTTCTTCCAGAAGGGTTTTTAGGTTATACACCTAAGAATTTTCAATTTCCTGAAGGGGACAATTCGCAGAAATTGCTAC